AACAACAACAACAACCATGTAGGAGTCTATATAGAGATAAAATTTAGTAGGGAAAAGAGCCCAGGCTTGGAAACAGACCTCAGCATCCTTCATCTCCGTTTTAAAATGTTTGTTTTACTTTATGAACTGTAGGGAACCTTTGGTGGATTTCAGACCTCTGCAACATGGGGATAATTTCACAGGTTGCCAAGACAGATACAGTTAATTAATTTGCATGACTAATTCTTAATTTGATCTGATGGTCAAGGAGGATTAAGAATTAAAGGTTTGCATGTTTTCCCAAAGGCAATTAATCAAAATTTGCATTTCACAGGAAGCCTTAAGAATGGAGTCTAAGCCTTCAAGGATCCCAAGAAGAATTTCTGTTCAACCCTCTAGCTCTTTAAGTGCTAGGATGATGTCTGGAAGCAGAGGAAGTAGCTTAAATGATACCTATCACTCAAGAGACTCTTCATTTAGACTGGATTCTGAATATCAGGTAACATCTTAGTTTGGAATGTATGTTCACAGTCTCTCTTTTTCAAAACCCTTGCTGCCACTTGTTTTTCAGTTTGCTTAAAAAAGTGGCCTGTGTTCTTAACACCCCACAGCTGAGGCATTCTGTAATCAAATATAGTAATTACCCTTCAGTAAAGTGAGTGATTATTTACCACTACCACAAGTCTTACATCGGGACTTAAGGAGCTCTGGTGGTGCAGTGCCTAAGGCATTTTTCTGCTAACCAGAGTGGTGGCGGCTCAAACCCATCAGCCACTCCCAAGGAGGGAAGACAGGGCAGTCTACTTCAGTAAAGATTTACCGCCTAAGAAACCCAGTAGGGATCAGAATCAACTCGATGGCAGTGGGTTGGTTTTTTTTTTTTTCCTTCATTCGAGACTTAGTTGTGTCTCAGTGTGTCAGTTCAGGTGAGATTTTACCATCACATGAATTAGCAGGCTATTCATGAAAATCTTAAACTTTTTGGATTTCAGGATTATGGAAAAGTACTTGTGTCTTTGTGTAAAATCATTGTATTTTTCAAATTATTGGTTTAAGTATGTATTAGATCAAAGTAGTCTCTATGAAAGACTTTCTCAGAGGACCAAAAACTGCATCCTTTTCACTCATCTTACACTCATTCATCTGACTTTTCTTGGCATGTACGCAAAGCAGTGATGATAGGATAATGATTGTGGTTAAGTGTTTTCCTTGAGAATCTGATTACTAAATATTTTGCTTTTAATGGTGGTTGATTATTAACAGGCTGTCCTTTTGTGAGGATACATTACTAACAATTTCTGGATAATTTTTGAGTTTTTATTGTTAGTAATGAGTGTACACTGATTCCTCAGTCAGCTAGTGATGCTAATTTTAATTAGCTGTGTAGCTAATTTTCCCCAAGAACCAACAGCATGTTGATTGGTTGGTTTTTAAAGTTTTATTATGTTGTAACACAGCAGTTGTTATATGAAGTTGTGTAACACTCAGAGGGCTTGATTTGTAAGTTTAATGTGATTTATAGTGTTCATCTTTCATATTTAAATTCATTGCATTATTGGCTGAACATCCAATTAACATTCTTTACTTCGTAAATATATGTTAACTAAATCTAAAAGAATCCTTTCATGAAAATTAATATATATTTCTAATTTCAGTTTGAGTCTAAATGTTTATATATTATGAGCTCTATAACAAAATACTCAAAAATTTCTGTACAAGAATGAGCATTTTAGAAAGTATTAATAAAAAGACTGAAGTAAAAATATAATTTCTCTATAATTCCTCTAGCTACTGTCCACTTCTTAATTGACTTTATGTGAACTATTACCTTGGTCTTATTTTAAATATTGATTCATATTTTAAAATTTTATTGCTAGACAAGTGTACACTTGCCAGAAGGTACAGAATCAAACTATTTTGTAGGAATGTCGTAGATTAAATATTTATGACTTATAAAGGACACAAGATTTTTTTTTTTCCTTTACTGTCCTTATAAAATTTTATCTACTCATCTTTGTCTAAATTATCATGTGGCTCATTTATGAGGAACACAAACTCTGAAACCAGACTGTACTTCCTAGACTGGACATTTGCTCAATACTTACTAGGTATGTGAGCCTGGGCATATCAGTTAACCTTTTTGTGTCTTAGTTTCCCTATCAGCTACCTCATATAGTTAAATGAAGTATTATATTGAATGAGGATAGTGCCTCACACGTGTTAAGCACTATATAAATGGTAGCTGCTGCCACATTTGTTTTTATTATCATTGTTATCATTTTAATTATATTTTAGGTGCTAAAAGTCTCACATATATTTATTAATTTTTAAATATTACTGTATTCAAGCTGTCCTTTTCACCTAGTTCTCAATTCCAAGTCTTGCTTTTCACTAAAATAGTTAAATAAATGCTAACATAAATAACATTGAAATAATACTTTAATGACTGTGAGATCTCCACATCTAAAAGGTGGTAATAGTAACCAGTCAGAGTTAAATTCATTCTGTTGCAAATTTTTAAATATGTTTAAATACCAAAGTAAAATAAATTCAAAGATTATTTTCAAATATCCAAAAATCAAACTAAGTAAATTTTTTCGGTCTTAATTGATTCATAATGGTGAAGTTCATATGGCAGTTCATTCATGGTGGCAATACAAAATCAGAAGAGACCTGGATTTTTAAAATTTGAGTGATCTGGAACACTAACTGGAATGGTAAACTTAGAAGAGGAGTACAGAGCCCTTTCAGGAGCCTGATGCAGGAGATAATATTATTGCCAAGACCAAAGAGTTAAACACATTCAAAGTGGCATGGTCTCCCTCCATCTTTCAGCTCAGTACTGATATCTCTGGCCCTGCTGGTCAAGATTTGGTTGCTATGCAACGCATATACTGCTCTTGTTTTCTAAGAGTGAGATTAAGTTAATCACAAGGTGTTAATCCATAATTTTTCCTGTTCCAGTTCACTCACATTTTACAAATTTGGGTCCATTCCTGCTTTGCTTTATTGGCCCTGACTGAACCAGGAAGAAGCAATTCAAAGCCCTGTTCATAACAGTTAATCAGTTTTGTGAAGGAGTGGCTATAAATGCCTCTTTTTTTTTTTTTTTTTTTTAATGGAAAAAGAAACAGTTCCAATCATCAATGAGCTATTCCTAGTCTGCTTTGCTTTATAGTTTTATTTAGAAACTGAAATGCCTGTGTTTTCTAGGATATACTTTTCATAGATAGTTGAATTGCTTTAGTTCATAGTACTTCAATTTGTGATGACCTGATTAAAAGTAAATCTGCTTTTTGAATAGGCAGAAAGAGAAGAAAGATACAGTTTGCAATGTTGACTCTGCCATCCTTTACCATTTATGGAACCCATTTTTCTACCCTTATTTTTGTCTTCCATCTTCTTAATAGTTTACAGATAAGAATACCTGGGTTTATATTTTATAAACATTAATTTTCAAGCAGAGTGGTTAAAAGCATGGGTCCTGTATCAGACTGGCCAAGCTGAAATCCCTAATTCATCTAACCAGCTATGTGATCTTGGGCAATGTATTTTATTTCTCTGTTTTATCTGTAAAATGGCAGTAATAGTATTTTCCTCTTACAGTTATTGTTATGACTGAGAGAAACAATACATGTAAACACTCAGAACAACAGTGTTTACTTAGCACATAGTAAAAGTTTTAACCCATTGTTGTCAAGTTATTTCCAACTCAGAGCAACCCTATAGGACAGAGAACTGCCCCTTAGTTTCACCCCAGAGATTCTGTGACCGTGGTCTTTACAGAAGCAGACATGCTTGTTGAATGAAACTAGACACACACTCCACAAAAAGTAGAAAATGGTTTTATTACTGAGTAAGCATTAAACCAGAGTGTGATGTGCACCACAGACAATCTATTAGCGATTGCAAAGACAGAAAGGAATTCTATTCTTTTATATAGCCACGCAGATGCAGCTCATTTCATATATGTCAGTATAAACGCTACCTAGTCAAATAAGAGAACTTAACAATTTGTCATCCATCAAAAAAACCAAACTCACTGTCGTCGAGTCAATTCTGACTCATAGCGACCCCTCCTGAGGTTTCCAAGGTGGTAATACATAGTTCATCCTAAATTCATTTAATAATTGGCAGAGCCACCTTTGTTTGTTGATTGCCTTTATTTTAAAAAAGAAATAAATTTCTCATATCTTTACAAGTAGAGGTAGGATTACAACTGGGTGCCAAACAACAGCTCAAATTAGGCTCCTTTCCTCCCAGAAAACCTGGAGATAGTGGTACATCTCTTTGATTGATTATATTTCAAAGAGATGGCTTTTGTGTCCTTGAGGAAACATTACTGGATTGTAAGATTGACAAGAGACTTACTTAACCTTTAAGAAGATTGACATACACCTCAAAGAAGCAGAGAAGGAATTTACAATTACAGGTTTTTTATAGTAAATAAGAAAAGGCAAGTCAAACGCAAAACCAAACCCACTGCTTTGAGTCAGTTCCAACTCATAGCAACCCGCTTTGGGTTTCTAACGTGGTAAATCTTTACAGAAGTTGATTGCTTAGTCTTGCTTCCACAGAGTGGCCGGTGGGTTTGAACCACCAACCTTCTGATTAGCAGTCAGATTCCTTAGTCACTGTGCTACCAGTGCTCCTTAAGAAAAGGTGAGGTTGGGAGGGCCTTTCCCTTATTTTTCAACAGGGAGAATTAAGCTTATCTTTATTTATTTTTTTCTTCTAATTTGTATTTTTCCTTACAGCATATCCATTAGGGATCACAGAAGTGCACATGAGTATTGATTTTGGGATTACAGATACATTTTAGGAAGTGGGCAAATCTACAAATAGGGAACCTACGAATAATGAAGGTTGAGTGTACTAAAAACCAGTGAATCACACACTTTGAAAGGATGATTTTTGTATGGTATGTGATGATGTACATAGTATTTCAATAAAACTAGTTTCAAAACAAGAATTGAACATGACTGTAACTGAAAATGTTTTAGTAAAGGCAGTAATAAGCACAAGAAAGTAAAAATGATAAACTACTTGTTTAAGTGTCCATTATGTGTAAGGTACTATGCTTTGAAGATAGAATCATTCCCCAATTTCATTTCCTTTTCAATAGTTCTAGACAGTAGTAGAGATAAAATAGTGCAGTTGCTCTTCATTTGTGGATTCCAAATTTACAGATTTGCCTACTTGCTAAAATTAATTTGTAACCTGAAAAATCCATATTTATGTCACTTTCAAGTCATTCACAGATATGCACAGGGTGGCCAAAAATTTTTGAGTTTCCCAGTAGACATATTCCAGAGGAGGTTGAACAGTGAGACTTTGTTCTTCCCTTTTTTCCAATTTTCATATTTCAAAGTGTCCTTTTTGCAGTCTTTTTAGTGCCTTTTTTTTTTTTTGCATGTTTCTGCTTTTTGTTGTGATTTTCCTGTTTAAAATGACCCCCAAGCATAGTGCTGAAGTGCTGTCTAGTACCATTAAGAACAAGACTGTGATATGCCTTATGGCAAAAATGTGTTTTCTTCCTCTGGGCATAAGTTATAGTGCTGTTTTAATGAGTCATGCATATGGTATATCTAGAAAAAGCCAGAAGAAATTTACCTGTCTATTCAGGATACTGCTCCAGGAACTGCTAAAGTAACATCTGTCAGTGTGTGATGAAACTGCAGGAAAGATGGAAAAGTGGCTAAACTTATTGATTCATATGAAGACAACCCATTTATAAAGGTGTAGTAGTTATTGTGAGGCTGAAAATCAAATTTATAGTCACATTACCCATTGTTAGAAAAATGTTAAGCCCTTCTTGGCTTTGCTGGCTGGTTAGTACATTTTAAAAAGCAATACTGGTGTGCAAAAGCTAAACTTGCAGACAAGGCAAATTTTACAGGTCAGGAGCTTGTGGAAGAATTTTAAAAATTCTAAATGTCAAACAGGCAAAGGGTCATATGGAAGACCCCATTTTCTACATTCTGTCAGCCTTTCCCTTGGTTTTCATGGTACAAGCCAAGGTTGAGAGGTTGAACCATTCAGTACACAATCCCATCACATTGTTGTCTTTAGGGTAAGATACAGGCCACGTAGGCTGCTTTTTGAGTTGAACAACAAAAACCCAATGCCATAGAGTTGATTCTAACTCAAAATGACCCTGTATGACAGAGTAGAATGCCCCATAGAGTTTCCAAGGTTTTAAATCCTTCCAAAAGTACTGCCTCATCTTTCTACTGCAGAGAGGCTGCAAACCACTAACCTTTTGAGTAGCATCCCAGTGCTTTAACCACAGTAACACCATAGCCATTAGAGTTAAAAAAAAAAAAGAAGAAGAAGAAGAAAACCAAACTCAGTGCTATCGAGTCAATTCCAATTCACAGCTACCCTTCTATGGTAGCAGATTGCCCAGTCTTCCTTCAGAGGAGTGGCCAATGGGTTTGAACTGCCAGCCTTCTGGTTAGCAGTCAGATGCCTTAGACACTACACCACCAGGGCTCCTTTTTAAGTTAGGAGTCATGAAAATTGTTCCCTGAACAGTGAGTGTGTCTTTTAAGCCACTAAGAAACAAGCAGTAGATCTGATAGTATACCTTCCTTCAGTGGTCCCCAGGTATGTTTGCAGAAGTGCTCCTGAGTGATAATTTCTCTGGTCCATTGCAAAAGAATAGAAATAAGGACATGTTACTGAATTTTTACAAATACAACTTTATTCAATTTAGGACTATTTAATTCTGAAATTATATCCTTCAAGTTTCAGGGGGATGTAAAATACCCTTTTTAAAATCAGGAACTGGGTTAGGTGAGATTAACTAGTTTTAGATGTTTTACTTGTCAGAAGAAAAGTAGTAATTTTATATAGGTGCCAATTTAAATTTTTTTTTGTTTTGTTTTTGATTGTCTCTGAAATCCAAAGGTCTTGCAACTACTGACCTGCAGGATGTTGTTATTGTTGGTTGCTGTCAAGTCGATTCTGACTCCTAGCGACCCCATGTGTGCAGAGTTGAACTGCTCCTTAGGGTGACCTTTCAGAAGCATATTGCCAGGCGTGTCTTCCAAGGCATCTCTGGATGGGTTCGAACCACCAGCCTTTCAGGTAGTAGTCAAGTGCTTAACCATTTGTGACACTCTTAATATCCTAATACTGGCACAAAAGATGGTTAGCCTCTGAGAAAACTAATGAATTTCATTTTTTATGCTCACTATAGTTCATTGGTTGGGACTCTGGAGTAGTACTAGGTGCCAGCTTATGAGCCACATTTTTGCTAAGCTGAAGAGTGCCAGGTTAAATTAGCAAAATACTCTGAGCAAAGAGAAACCAAGCCCATTGCCATCAAGTAGATTCCAACTCATAATGACCCTGTAGGACAAAGTAGAACTGCTGCCATAGAGTTTCCAAGGCTAGAAATCTTTGGGGACGTGTACTGCCTCATCTTTCTCCTGTAGAGCAGCTGGTGGATTCAAACAGCTGACCTTTTGCAAAGGATGGGTGAAATGCTGTGTGTTTCATTCTGATCTATCCCTTTCCTACTTTTCTAGTCTTGTGTCTTTAGCTTTTTTTTCTTATAGTGTATATATAGATAATAAAAGCTTGACCTCTAGAGATCCCCTGTATTGATGTAGTTTCCTGAGTGCATGTAGTATGCTTCTCATGATTGAAGCATAATAGAAGATCAGATGACTAATAATACCCTAGAAGAATTTGCATGTAGAATGGTTTATTCGTCTTTTTATACTGTCATTTATAATGTCCTTCATCCATTGTCAACGCAAATGCTGTCAAGTTGTAACTGCCATCGAGTCAGATCTGACTCCTAGTGACCCCTCCTTGGGTTTCTGAGGTGGTATCACTGTGGAAATATATTGCCCAACCTTTCTTCCAAGGAGTGGCTGGTGGGTTTGAACCACCAGCCTTCTGGTTAGCAGTCAGATGCCTTAGGCATTATGCCACCAGAGCTCCTATTGTATATCCAGTGAACTCCAATTAACACCTTTTCTGCATCCTCCCTTGATGCCCTCAGACCCAATTAGGCTCTTTATTTTCTGTAAACCTTTCAGCATACTTCCTATATAATTATTTCTTTGTCTATTGCTTATACTCTGAAGCGTTTTGAAAGAAGACAATTGTACTCTCACGTTTATCCTATGATTATTATATTAACGTAGAGTGAATTTACGGCCCCTGAAGCATTATCTTGTTAAGCAATATAACGGTTCTTTAATAAAATGGACAGTATACCACATACTTTAATTACATAGTAACATGATTTAAAAATGTTTTTCAATGTCTGTTATTTTAGGGATTCTTACTTTAAATAAGTGTTTTAGAGATTATATGCCATTTGTGTCACTTTTAATGTGTATGTGTCCAGTTAAAAATTCTGCAGTGAAAGAAAAATTTCAGTAATAGGGTGTTGAAATGTTATATTCTTGTTATTTAAACCTGTTTTTTTTTCTCCCTAGAAAAATGAGTAATTTTCCTCCTTTCCTATGTATTAGATTGCATAAACTGCTTAATCAAAGAACTAGAGAGAAGTAAAATAGTTTGAACATTGTGAATGACTTTTGTGTTGTGGTTTTTTTTTTTTTTTGTGTATATGTATATTTTTAAAGAGAAAACCATGAGCAACAAAGAGTTTTAATTGTTTTGTAGTTCACTAATGAAATTCCAAATGTTAGGTTTGTTGTTTGTTTGCTTTTAAACCTTTATAGTGTTGTTACTGTATTCTGAGAACAGATAACAGAAGGAGAATACATTTTTTTCATTACTTGTTAAATTTCATTTTTCTTGTAGGGTTTTCATAGTCAATTTATGTGTTAGTGCCTTTCTTAATGTATTGTCCACCCCTGGAAATAGGAAACAAGTTCCTCATAAGGTTGAAATATGAAACTAGGAAAGCAAAATGATTATAAAGTTTATGCTCTTCAGTGTTTCATAATCAAGTGCTTGTATACAATTACAACAACCTGTTACTGAGTCCATTCTAATTCGTGATGACTCCACACATTTCAAGAGTAGAACTGCACTCCATAGGGTTTTTAATAGCTGTGGTCTCTTTTTTTAGAAGTAGATTTTAGGCCTTTCTTTAATCTTTTTAAAATTTTTTTGACTTATAGTCTACATCAGCATCTGCGTCACCATTTCAGTCTACATGGTATAGTGAATCTGAGATCACTCAGGGAGCACGCTCAAGATCACAAAACCAGCAACGGGATCATGATTCAAAAAGACCTAAACTGTCTTGTACAAACTATACATCTACCTCAGCTGGGAGAAATGTTGGAAATGGTTTAAATGCAGTATCAGGTAAGAGACTATATATATATGTATATATGTCTATATCTGTCTATCTAGATAGATATAGATATATATGAATTTTGGACTAAAGCCCTTTTACTAAGAAGTAGCATAGTTCCTAAGTTTGAGATAACAAGTGGAGTGCCTGTAAGACAGTGGGTCAGAAATGCAGTGGAATATCCAAAATCTTACTTTAAGTTAGTGCTAAAACTGAAATTAATTGGTCAATTTGGTTTTTGTTCCAAGTTTGGTATAGATGTCCTACTCAAACAGGATATTAGTAGATTTTAATTAATTAGAATAGCTTATGTGTGTGGTAATCAAATTGGTTAAAAAAGATATATGTTCTGCTGGCTATCATAGGAGATAAATTTTTTAACTGTTACTAGGAAAGCCACATAAGCATGTTAAAAACATTTTTTAAGCATGCCTTTTATAAATAGTTTATATTGTGGTATGATAGTTATTTCTAGAAAATCCAGATACCCTTTATTAATCTGCAGTCATTTTATATCATATTTACATTGTATGGTCAAATGTTATGGGGCATAGATAAGATACTGGCAGCACGGATGGAGGAAGATTTTGGTGTTAGGCAGAGAAGAATGTAAGAAATACTTTTATCTGATTAGTTTATTAGTGAATAATTTTATGTACTGCTGAATTTCACTCCATAATAAGTAATAATTGCCTTCCACTGTTATCAGTGGAGATTTGTTATCATCAGAAACTTTGAGCACTGTCTCAGAATTAAAACTGTTTCAACTATTTTAAGATTCTTCTTGGAGACATAGTCAAGTTCCCAGATCTTCATCAATGGTACTTGGGTCATTTGGAACTGACTTAATTAGAGAGAGAAGAGATTTGGAGAGAAGATCAGATACCTCCATTAATAATCTTATGGATTATAGTCACAGAAGTGGTGATTTCACAACTTCATCATGTATGTATGAACTGTATTATTATCCACAGTGTATCTAACCTTATTTTATTTTGGGTATATATGTTATTAAATTAGCAATGCAAAGGAATAAATGAAGTGAATTTTACTTCCTTATGAAGGTTTCAGAATAGCTTAATTACGTCTCCTGGTACTGTATTTGTACTGTTAAAAAATAAAATGAAATTATAATTAAATAGATATACATGAATGTCTAGATTTTGTCTGCATTTAAACTTTTTTATGCAGTTTTTCTATTAAGAATGTATATTATGTGAAATGTACTAAATTATCCTTGAATACCAAACCAAAACCCACTGCCATCAAGTCAATTCCAGCTCATAACAGCCCTGTATGAGAGAGTAGAACTGCCCTGTGAGATTTCCAAGTCCATAAATCTTCAGAAGCAGACTGCCACATCTTTCTCTTGTTGAGCAGCCAGTGGGTTCGAACTTCCGACCTTTGGGTTTGCAGCTGAGCGCTAAACCACTGCACCACTATGGCTCCTAATTCTTGAATACTTAATGTATTATAATAAGTAACTTACTGCTAAATAATAAATATGATTGAAGTTGTTATTTATTTTTAAGAGTAGTGGGAATTATTTATTGCAGAGTGGCAATGCACGGAGACAGGGGCCGGTAGCCAAATCTTACTCCTTGAAGTCATTATTTTTAAGCCATGAATGGAAATTCTTTGGTATAACATGAATGTTCCTTTATTTTCATCTAATTGAAATAAATCCGCCCTGTTTCTATCAGTGTCCATAGGCTTAAGCTTTTCAAAAATAAATACCATGAAACAGTTAATACTAAGTAGCTAAAGAAAATAATGTTAATTGAAGTTTATAAAAATTAAGGGATGCTTTTGTTTTATTTAAGATAAATGAAAACTTCTTTTTTATATGCTTAGATTTGGATGGAACAACTTGAGTGAACAGCATTAGGAGCATCTAGGTATTTCATTGTGAAGGTATAGAATAGAATTGATTTACCCCATAACAATTTATCCTTTCATGAGACTGCATGTATTAGCATAGCAGTAGTCTAGGTTTTATGTTCTTTATATGGATGGATTTTATTTACAAAGGATATTTCTCATTGCATGTGAAGATTAGAACCATTAGTGGTATACTTTAAAAATGCTAAAAAAATAAAGATGGCCAATCCTTATTCTGATTTTAAAAAAAAGCTCCTGGCCAGTATTAAAAAGTAAAATTATATGTGATGAGTAACCAGGGATAAGAACCACTGCTATTAGCATGAAAGAAAAGATTGGAGAAATTTTTACCTGTTAACAGTGTTTGTCATAAAATTACAGGGGTAAAGAATATTTACATGAAATAACCTTCATACTTAATGCACTGAGTAAGAACAATCTCTAAAAATGAGTCATTTACACTATATTATTTGACCCATTTTACATTCCTTCAGGTCGTGGCACAGTGGTTAAGGGCTCAGCTGCTAACCAAAAAGTTGGTGGTTCAAACCCACCAGCTGCTCCATTGGAGAAAGATGATAGCAGTCTGCTATGTAAAGATTGATAGCCTTGGAACCCCTATGGGACAGTTCTACTCCTGGTAGGGTTGCTGTGAATTGGAATCAACTTGATGGCAGTGGATTTGGGTTTTTTTGGTTACCTTTCTTATTAATATAGATGATATTCTACTATATACATTTCTGCTTAATAAATGCAGCTGTTTTACCTTTATCAAGTTGACACATTGATGTTAAGTGTTTATAAATGCACTCTCAATAACTATAATACGTTTATTTCTTTAGAATTTCTAATATTAACTTTACATGAGAAGTGTTGGATTTTAACATAATGAATAGAAAAAAAGAAATTTATTTTGCGGTTTTTTTTCTTACAAATATAGTTCAGTTGTGTAATTATAATATAGCAATATTGAGTTTGAACCCAGTGTTCATTTTGGCAGTAATTAGTAATTAATAAGTGCAAGTTACTAATACTCAGATTGCTTCATGTAATTAGTTATTTTTCCTTCCTTTCAAAAATAGATGTTCAAGACCGAGTTCATTCTTCATATTCACAGGGAGCAAGACCAAAAGAGAACTCAGTGAGCACTTTACAATTGAATACATCATCCACAAACCACCAGTTGCCTTCTGAACATCAGTCCCTACCATGTTCTAGGGATTCCAGCAGAAATTCTTTAAGATCAAACTTTTCTCAAAGAGAATTGGAATCTCCCCGAAGCAGTACACAGTCTGGATTTTCCTATATTTCAAATAGAGATGATACCCCAACCATAGGCAGTTCAGAAAGAGTTGCTTCATCTCAAAGATCATTTCAAGAATCTTCTGACAATGAAGGAAGGCGTACAACCAGGAGGTTACTGTCACGTATAGCTTCTAGTATGTCATCTACCTTTTTTTCACGAAGGTCTAATCAGGATTCCTTGAATACAAGATCACTGAGTTCTGAAAATTCTTACATTTCTCCTAGAGTCGTGACACCTTCACAGTCTCGTAGTAATGCAGCGTCCACTTCTGAAGTTTCAGATAATAGACCATCTGAAACACCTCAGGGATTTCGATTTCTTAGGCGAAGATGGGGTTTGTCATCTCTTGGCCAAAATCATAGCTCCGAGCCAGATTCAGAAAATTTTAATCAAGAATCTGAAGGTAGAAATACAGGACCATGGTTATCTTCCTCACTTAGAAATAGATGCACACCTTTGTTCTCTAGAAGGAGGCGAGAAGGAAGAGATGAACCATCAAGGATCCCTACCTCCGATATACCACCTAGATCTCACCATGTTTTTAGAAGAGAAGCTAATGAAGTAGTTCATCTTGAAGCACCGAATGATCCCCTTGGGGCTGCTGCCAACAGACCACAAGTGTCTGCAGCATCAGGCAGTGCTGCGACAGGTGGCTTTCCATCAGATTCAGCTCACAGTGGAAGAAATACAGGAATAACTGGGATTCTTCCTGGTTCCTTGTTCCGTTTTGCAGTCCCCCCAGCACTTGGAAGTCATATGACTGATAATGTCATGATCACTGTAGATATTATTCCTTCAGGTTGGAATTCATCTGATGGAAAATGTGATAAAACTAAAAGTGCACCTTCAAGAGATCCAGAAAGACTGCAGAAAATAAAAGAGAGGTAAATTTGAATACGTGTCTTGGCCCTATAAAGCAAGCGCAGATTAGAGAAAGAACTCTATTTCTAAAAATACCTTCTTAAAACATTGATATCTAAAAATTCTTTCCTTAAATATACATCCAGTAAGATTCTCTTTCTAGGTAAGGTGCTCTTTCTTTGGTAAACAGATAGGAATTGAATTAGGCATTGAAGTATAGTGGATGACATGAAGAAATACTCTTAATGGTGGTTTTCATTCAGTTGGGACTAAAGCCTGAATTTCCTGTCCTATTCCTTGACAGACTGCTGCTACGTGGCATTGATAAGAAGACCCAGATAGCCATGGATAGTCAATACAATCTGTCTTATCCTTTACTAAGATGATTTATTTACATAAATAAATAGCTCTGTATTATGTAAATAAGTAGGTCTGTATTTCTCATTGAAAATCCTTTTTAGAATGAAGTGAAATCAGGTGGAGAAATTACTTCATTTTTGTTCTGACTTCCAAATATGTACTCCGTATTCTTTATATAGTAGGAATGTTTGACTTTTAACAGAAATAATAGTTAAAATTCAGGGCTTAGAACCTGTAAACTAAAATACTTTGGAATTGAAAATTCCAAAGACTTGGTAAGAGTAGAAAAGTGAAAGACTAGAGGATTTAGTCTTGACCATAAGTTTTATCATCTTCAAGGCCTAGATACTTAGTTTTTCCATCTAATAAGTTAGTTGTTATCTTAAGATTGATAGTACATATGAAATACAGGAAAAAGGCTTATATAAAGCTATGGTTGTGGGTATTTTTTTTTCCTTTTTCATAAAGTTCTCATGTAATAGAATTGTTTGAAGGCTTTATTACTGTGAATTTAGAGTTTTTATGCTTTAGCAAGAAAGACATTAAAATCCAACTCTAGCAATAAAGGTTGCTTTACATGGTTTCTGAGATACTGTACTCTTACTGTTCCTTATGTAGGACAAGTTGTACCATGTGACTGTTTTCTTCCTGTTTTGAAAACTTGCTAGTTTTTCTTCCTTAGAAAAGGAGGTTTACCCTATTTGGTAGAGTTAGTTTGGGAGGAGCTCTGGTGCATAGTACCTAAGGCACTTGACTGCTAACCAGAAGGCTGGTTGGTGGTTCAAACCCACCAGCCACTCCTCAGAAGGAAGGTTGGACAATCTACTTCCGTAGTGATACCGCATTGGAAACTCAAGGAGGGGTTGTTATGAGTCAGGCACAACATAACAACAATTACGGCAACTTTCTTTGATGGCAGGCATGACTGCTGAGGAGTGTAGTAACCATTAGATGTCTTGTCCTCAAAGTTAGGCTAATTTGAGTACAGTAGTTAAGCAGAAGGCAAAAGCATATTGGTTTAGGGATCTCTGGAAAAAAAACAGATTAAGCCAGCATTACCTTGTCTGATAAGGTCCCTAAAACTCAGTAAGTTTACACTGAAAACTGAATCTACTGCCATCAAGTCAATTCCTACATATAGTGACCCCCCATAGGGTTTCCAAAGCTATAAATATTTATGGAAGCAGATTGTCTTGTCTTTCTTCCACAGAGTGTTGGTGGGTTCAAACCACAGACCTTTTGGTTAGCTGTCCAGTGCCTTAACCACAGGGCCACCAGAGCTCCTTCTATAAAACACTATGGAGCAGTTCTACTCTGTAAACACATGGGGTTGCCATGAGTTGGAATCAGCTCCATGGCAACAAGTTTGTTGTTACCCTGTCTAGTTTGAAAAGCAGCACATTTTATAGTTGTTATGATGCCAAAAGAATTAGTGTATTTGTTTCTCATACATTAGGCATTGGACATTCTGCGGGTAATTAATGAGGATATAAAAAAATTGAATTTCCCAAGTAAAAAAGAATTGTGACTGAGAAGGGAAGAAAGTTAAAGACAAAACATAAATGCCATGTTTTCAGCCTTGCAAAAATACCTGATTGAGGCATACCTCTGATTATAGGAGAGCATGAAAATCACTTACAGTTGTTTACACAAAGGGGTAGATATACAAGTCTGTTGCTGAATTCATTAAGGAACCTGTATAATCCAAGTTACATTTCAGTAACAGTTCAGCATTCAGTATCATTAATTTACTAAGTACCTGCTTCGTGCCAGCAGTGAACTAAGCCTATAGGGATTTTAGTGAAAAATTACTTTGCTTATTGCAGGCAGTCCCCAGATTATGGATAATACCCATTTCTAAGTGTGTTTTTAAGTCAGATTTGTAGGTAAGTTGAGACAGGTGCATTATTATTTAGCCTTGCTTTAGAGTCAGAAAGGCCAGAATCCTTTTCAGTGCAGCAAGTGAAGGTCATGGAGATGAAGCACTTTTTGTTAATGAGTAGAGAGGTTCCTTGTGTCAAAGTAAGGGCAAATTTACATAACATGAAAGGGCAAGTATAAGTTATTGGTAAGGTGGACGATCCAGGGGCTTACTGTATATAACTACTATTCTGCATTTAAATTCAGCAGTACATGTTGGCCTTTTAAATAGGGGCCATGTTGTTGTTGTTATGTGCCATCGAGTCGGACTCGACTCATAGTGACCCCTCCTTGGATTGCTGAGGTGGTATCACTATGGAAGTAGATTGCCCAACCTTCCTCCTGAGGAGTGGCTGGTGGGTTTGAACCGCCACCCTTCTGGTTAGCAGTCAAGTGCCTTAGGCGCTATGCTACCAGAGCTCCCAAATAGGGGCCATAGGGTAATAGAGATGGGTCTGTCCTTTAAAAGCCTACCCTTAAGAAAAATCAGGATTATTTAATAAAATTGCTGGAGGGAAGAATGAAGAACTTAAATATCTACTACTTTTTTTTTTTTTTAACTGTGATGTAATTCAAAAAGCTCATCAATGAAACATGAGGAGTTAGCATTCTGATACCATGTTAATGAAAAATCACAAATCACTGTTTCATTGAAATTGTCTTAAACAGTTTTTTGGGGAAGGAAGTGGAAGGGCAAAACTGATGAGTATATAAGTACATTATGCTTACACTTTGAGACCTGAAGTAGTCTGGCATATTGTAGAAATTAAAATGTCAGGCATACTTGTAGAATTATTGTGAAAAATCTAGAACTTAAAACTGGTATCAAATCAGAATTACTTCAGTCATTTGAAGATAAATAAAAGGGGCCCTGGTGGGCAGTGGTTAAGTGCTTGGCTGCTAACGCAAAGGTTGGCACTTCAACCTATCGGCCACTCTGCAAGAGAAGACAGTCTGCTTTCATTTTCCTTTCCTTTTTTTTTTTTTTTTTTTTATTTTTCGTAGTTTAGATAAAGTTTGCAGAACAAATTAATTTTCCATTCAACGTCTGTACACATTTTGTTTCATGACATTGTTGCAGTCCCCTCTATATGACAGCACTTCGCACTTCCTCCCTGGATTCCCTGTTTCCGTTCACCCTTTCCTGACCCTTCCTGCCTTCTTAGATAATTTTCATTTTTAATTTCATGTTTTTCATGGTGATTGTTGCTGTTTATAACTATTATTGTTTGTTGTTAATTTGCTTTTTTTCCACCTAGTGAGACTGTGAGTTGAAATAATAAAAACAGGAGATACTGTTTGGAATTATTTATGATTGGAAATGATCGACCAGGATGAGTTAGGATAGCTCTGTTTAAGAAATGTGCCTTCTTTTCCAGCCTCCTCCTTGAAGATTCTGAAGAAGAAGAAGGTGATTTATGTAGAATTTGTCAAATGGCAGCTGCATCATCGTCTAACTTGCTGATAGAGCCATGCAAATGCACAGGTAGTTTGCAGTATGTCCACCAAGAGTGCATGAAAAAGTGGTTACAGGCCAAAATTAACTCTGGTAAGGTTTACCTGTTTATTTACTTTTCAGAACTTTCCTAAGAGATGAATATGTATATTTCAATTAATAATTTTGTGATTATTTATTGATTGTTGAATTTAGACTTGTCCTAATTATTTTTGAAGCCTCAGTAAATGTTTTACTATAAATTTAATTTATTGCATTGTATCTTACATTTCATTCAGCCAACATGGATAATAGTTATAATTTGTGATAGTGATCTTTAAAATGATGCAGAATCCTTTTGAGACATCAAAGAAACATGCTTAACTATTTATCAGTTATGTGACCTTGAGAAGGAGTATCTCTAAAGCTATTGAGTCACTTACCAAATTAGGATATTAATAGTGTTGCTGTAAGGATTCATTTGTTTAATGAATGCCTGTTAGAGCCAGGCATAGATCTAGATGTGGAATGTAGAGTGGTGAATAAGACAGACAAGATGTCTGCTTTTGTGGTGGTATTAGGTATTAAGGGAATGCTCTAGTGAGATGATGGCATTTAAACCGAGAGCTGAATGGTAAATAGCTATCCAATCTAGAATGAGAGGAGAGAGCATTCCAGCAGATAGTACAGCTAATGCAAAGACTTTAAGATGGGAATTACTTAGGTGTGTTTGAGGAACTGAATGATGTGCAGTGTGGGGTGTGATATAATTGAGATCAGAATTTGGCATACACTAAGTCATACAAGACTTAAAAGTGAGGTACAAAGCTTAGATTTGTATCTGAGAGTAATGGGAAGCCACAGAAGGCAAGGGAGTCATATGATCTTACTTATATTTTGGCTCCTCTGTGGAGAATGGATTTTAGGAGGACAAGAGTGGAAAGGATAGACCTATCAGAAATCTGTTAAAATATCACTTGCAAAAGATGGTAATGGCTAGGATGTGGTGGTAGTAGTGGTAGAAAACAAAATGAAGAGAGATGGATGGAATTTTATTTATCTTTCAGGTAGATTCTATAAGACTTGTCAATAGATTAGATGTGGTAAAATAAAGGAGAAAGAATTAAACTCATGTTTTTTTTACTTAACTAAGTGAATGGTGATGCAGATTATTAAAATAAGGAAGACTGAAAATGAAAACAGAATAGCAAAGTGTTTTGTTTTCTATGTGTTGTATTTGAACTGCTTATTCGATAATATGAAAATATTAAGTAAGCAATTATCTAGACAGACCTTGTGTTTCCGGAGACACTAGGGTTGAGAATTTTGGGAATGATGAACACTTAAATAATATTTGAATATAAGTTTGGGATTAAATAAATTCACCTAGAGGGAGAGCAGTTATCAAAGAAATGTTTACTGAGATTACAGGAGCAGCCTCCTGTCAGGAAGAAAATGAAGTGGTATGCAAACCAAAAGAAGAAATTTTTAAAGGGAGGTGATCAACCCTGTCAGGAATTGCTGAGAGGTCAAGTAAACTCATTAAAAACCAAACCTATTGCCATTGAGTTGATTTCAACTCAAGGGCCATATAGAAAGAGTAGAACTGCCCCATAGGGTTTCCAAGGCTCTAAATCCCATTTATAGTGGATGGCATGAAGAAATACTCTTAATGGTGGTTTTCATCCAGTTGGAGCTAAAGCCTGAAATTCCTGTCCTATTCCTTGATAGACTACTGCTACATAGCATTGATAAGAAGACCCAGATAGCCATGGATAGTCTGTGACAGCTGGTGGGTTCAAACTAGCAACCTTTTGGTTAGCAGCCAAGTGCTTTAACCACTACACCACCAGAGCTCCTAAGAGGTGAAGTAAGATCGGAACAGAGAAGTGATAATTGGATTTCACAGCATGGAGTTCTTGGTAGTTTCATTTCAGTCTCAGTGGAGTGAGGAGATAATACGCCTGATTAGACTGGATTAAGAAGAAAAAAAGAGCAAAGGAAAAAGGGACAGAGCAACACAGAGCACTCTTTCAACAAGATTTGTTGTTAAGGAGATTGGACAAAAGCAGCAGGAATTGGAGGGCATATGGGGTCATGGGAAGTGTTTCTGTTTTTATTTTAAGGTAGATTTTAGGGCATGTTTTTATATTAATAAGAGATCCAGTAGAGGGGAAAAATGAAGAGAAGAGAGAAAGGAAATGAAATGGGATCCAGAGCCCAAGTTGTGTGGTTGGCTTTTGATAGGAAAAGGGATACTTGATCTGTAGAAGGCTAGTGTGTAGATTGGGGTTGTTGGTCACTTTGTAGCTTTGGTGAAAAAAAATGCATGTTCTGTAGAAGTGCTTCTGATTTCTTGGTTAAGTGTGAGATATAAGATCTTTAACTGACTAGAAGGGTGTAGGAAGTTTTGATGTGTGAGTAAAGTAACATACAAAGGAAATGTAGTAGGATTTCTGTTGTTGTTGTTGTTATGTGCTGTCGAGTCGGATTTCTAGGCAGTATTAATGTCCATGAAATCAGTGGTTATAAATTTAAAGTGATTTACACGTGCACACTATTTTTTTTTGTTTCTTTTTGTTAATTGTCATTAAGCAGTTTTTAGTGTTTGAATACAGACATGGATTAGCGTTCAACTGAGTTAGGACCTTTGCCACCAAAAACCAAACACACTACTGTCAAGTCGGATCTGACTCATAGCGACCCTTCCTTGGGTTTCTGAGGCAGTATCACTATGACGTAGATTGCCCAACCTTCCTTCCGAGGAGTGGCTGGTGGGTTTGAACCTCCAGCCTTCTGGTTAGCAGTCTAATGCCTAGGGCACTATACCACCAGACCTTTGTCAGGCAATTATAAATATGATAAAGGGAGTTAAAGTATCTGAAATGGCATAATTGTGATCATGGGAATTAAAATCAGGAGAGGACTAAGAATATCAGGGCGGCGTGAGTAGTGAGAAAGTGGTGAGATCGTTGTCTTTGAGTTTCATTGGCATTGAAGAGAGTAGGTGAGGTGGAATAAGAAATTGTAGATACATAGGAGGAGAGAATACTTTAAAATAATAGATTGAGAAGTAGTGCAGTAAATTGTGATAACAACGTCAAGGTAACCATAGAGTGGGTAACTGAGGTAGAAAGAGTAATATTAGAAGTAAAGAATTTGAGAACGTAAGAATCCAAAGGGAATGATGTATGTGGATGTTGAAATAGCCAAGAAGTGGGTTGGTAAAGAAGACAGAGAGCCAGGTGCTAAAGTCACTAATGATTGTGGGCGAGGGGTGTCTTAACGGTTTAGAAACAGAAGTGGATGGAAGGAAGGCATCTACCCAACTTTTTAGCACTTTGGGGAAAAAAAACGTGCAGAAGCAGTATCAGTCATCAGATACTGTAGTTCAGGCTTGAACCACATTTCATTTAAAAAAGATTCATTCAGAAGGTTCATTCAAAAAAGATTATTACAGGGATTTATTGTTGTTAGACCATGAGTACCAGAGGGCATAGTAGAAATGACTAATAAGGTGAAAAGGACAGGAAATTGGATCAGATTAATAAATGTATATAATTGGGTGAAATTAGAGGTCTGATAATGATAGTTTGGTGGTGTAGACCAATAGGTTGTAACTTGTGATGGGATTAATTTTAATAATTGTTGGAGGAAGGTGGGTAGTAAACATTTCAAGCTGGAGAGTTTGGAACTACTGGAAAACTGTTTTCTTCTGCATTTCACAGTGGTGTTAGTCAATAGGTATGCAAAGCATCCTTTTTGGGAGGCAAAGGAGGTATATGTTCTTCTAAGCTATACTGAGCCCAAGGTTCTGAGATAGCCTCTCTCACCTATAGCAGCCTCTTCTCTTACCTTTATGGTGATATGGCAGCCTCACTAGCTTTAGTAGACACTGCCCTGTAATTTTTTTAAGATTAAATGAAATAAGTGCTTAGTATGGTTACTGACAGTAAGGGCCCCAAAATGTTGACAATTACCCAAAAGGAAGAACTAACTTGACTCACCTGGATTGCTGGTGTTGCGTAGGCAGGAAAACAGAAATTGGCTTTCAACATAACAAGAAACCTAGACTTTGAATATTGGCTCAAATTATCTGTAGAACCATAATTGGGTTGTTTAACATTGGTTCTCAGCTCTAGCTGCTGATCAAAATCACCTACTGGAGTTTTTTAAAATACAGATGCCTCAGATTCACTCCTGAGCATTTGTAAGTAGCTCTGGGGATGAAGTTAGTTTCATCATGAGTAACACTTACCTCATAGGGTTATTGTGAATCACATGATACAATGTTTGTAAATAGTTCCACACAGTACCCAGTATGTGGTAAGTACTCAACTAGATGGGAGTCATTTTTTATAAGATTGTAGGGTTATAATAGTTACTTTGTTAGATATGATCAAATGAGTGTGTAGATTTCAACAACTGAAACTCAGTGGTAACTTTTCAGAAGCCTTCCTCATACTACCTAAATATCCCTTCTGGTAGAAAATTCATTCCGGTAGAGAGTCACTTAAAATATTTATTAAGCAGCTACTATAAGTGAACTGCTAAACTCTGTAGGATGTGCAAAGATGAATAAAGCAAGCCTACTACAAGTTTAGGGACATGCAGTCAGGACCTATTGAATGAGGTGGGGTATAATAGAAAAAGCCTTGGATTAAAATTAAGCAAGGGAAAAATGAGTTGTTCCCAGATGTATACAAACAGCTTCTGATAAGTCACTTATTCCATAAAGCAGAAAAATAAAGCCAAAGGACGTAGTACAAAGGATTTGTACTCCTGGCCATCCTGTCTCCATATTTTATGCTCATCATATGTTCTTCCTGCTTCTGGATCAGAAAATTGTTTTAATAATTGTCTAAATGTTTTTCAAATCCTTTGTATTCTCTGTAAGGTAATAGCATAATGGGTTTACCATGAATTAAGAACATACTCCAGTTTCTTTTAATTTCAACATGTCTGTGTATGCTGAACTCCCCAAAAAAAAGTCTAGTGTAGGTTTTACTTATACACATGAAATACAATGAAAACATTGTGTAATTTGACTGTTTACAGCACATTTTGACACAAGAAGATTCGTACTCCTGATTTACACTCACTTTCAGCTATTTTCTAGAAAATGGGCATAGTTACTACTGCTTTCTTGAACTTTGTGTCAAATTTTACTATTTTTATAAATTGCTGTAATGAAATAACACTAGTTCTTAGAATTTATGAGCTTCTTGAAGATACTTACTGCTTACTCTTTTCTGAATCCCCAGAACCTAAGTATCCCTTCTGGTAGAAAATTCATTCTGGTAGAGATTCACTTAAACATTTATTAAGCAGCTACTATAAGTGAACTGCTAAACTCTGTAGGATGTGCAAAGATGAATAAAGCAAGCCTACTACATGTTTAGGCACATGCATGACACATACTATAACAAGCATGATAATGCATGACATATTATAACAAGCACTAAGTAAATGCTAGTTGAATTAAATTTAAACTTCTATCCTTTTGCTTCATAACTACTCTAAACATTAAAACATTTTAAAATTTGAAGCCCAACTAAAAACAAACACAAGAAAGAAGGGAGCATACATGTTTAATTCAGTAAAACTGGATTTTGTTGTGTCCAACTCATGGCAACTCCATGTGTTATAGAGTAGAACTGCCTCCATAAGGTTTACTTAGCTGTAATCTTTACAGAAGAAGCAGTTTGCCAGGCTTTTCTTCTAATCCCCTGGGTGAGTTCAAACTGCAAGCCTTTTGGTTAGCAGCCAATAGCAAACCTTATGTGCCACCCAGGCTTCTTATTGCCTACTAAATTGGAGCCAGAACCTAAGGAGTAATCTTATGCTGAGTGCACATGAAACAGAAAGAGTTATTTTGATTTGGACACATAATCCCCTTTTTACCCTCCTAGCCAGCAGGTCAGGCACATTCCTTAGACCCCAAAAGGGCTTAGATGTATGTTGTTACATCAAAGATCCTGTCCTGGGTGTGTGTAACTAACTACTTGTTTGAGAGCCTGTATTATTAAACATTGTTTTCATGGCATCATGCCAAGTTATTTAAGGAGGAAATAGGATGCGCACAGGTCACATTCCATTACCTCTTATGTCAGCTTCCCATGATCAAGGATATATGGGTGTCTACAGGAAAAGAAAAGAACAGACATAAATTGTGGTTGGAGTCTTTATACCAATGAGTAGGACCTGACAAGCATCCTGGGATGTACAGAGTGCTATTTTAGGAGACATTGCTAGGTCATGGTAGTCTTTCTTTAAATTCATTCATCTATTTATCAATCAATCTGCTAATCAGTCAGTAAGATTTTCATATTCTGAGCTTAAAACTTATGAGGAAAAACTGGTTTGTGGAGACAAAGCAAAACCAAACTTCACTTGCAATTTAATTTTTACCAGGTTCTTCATTAGAGGCTGTAACCACCTGTGAACTTTGTAAAGAGAAGTTGCAGCTTAACTTGGAGGATTTTGATATTCACGAACTACATAGAGCTCATGCAAATGAACAAGTTAGTATATTTTGCCTAATTTGGTAAGTGTCTATTCAGTGCTTAAAGGACAACTCTTGAAGAAAAGATTAAATCCTGGTCAGAAACCCTGCACTAAATTAATAATAATATTCTTAACATAATTCTCTGTTACTGCCTTAGGTATTATAATTTCATAGTTTTTCTTTATCCTTCCCTTAACTTTCTATAAGTGAAAGGCAGGTAACCAAGTCAAAGGTTTTAAATTTATTAAGATAAAATTTATCATGCTTTCTAAATAAAACTAATTTTAATACAAGTTCAGAAAGTGGTTCCGTACTAGACTTGCCAACCTTATTTCCCCAGAGCGCTCTCAGTTGTAAATGCCTCTGGGTTTTGGAAGATGCTAGAAATACTAAGCCCTGAATACAGTTCCTATGTATTTTTTTATATTCTTTTTTCTTTGTGTGTCTGGCCAAGCAAGGTCTCTCTACTATCCTGTTTTCCTCTACCCTACCTATTCTTGGTCATATTTCATAAAATATGTTGAATAAGTATATACCTTATGAAATCTCTTTTATTCCCAGTTGCCATTATCTGTCTTCTTTTCTTTAGTATTTGTATCACTGAGACTAGCCTTTTTATATATAGCAAATGATGTCAGGGATTCTTTATGATCATTTTAAGTTTTCTGTTCAGATATTTCCCTCTCAGTTCTCAGATAATTTTGATATATGTTGGTAACTCCTCCTCTTTCCCCAAATAACTGGTTTGATCACTGTTTTTTGTTTCTTGACTTTAAATTTTTGAGATGCTTAAGTTATATAGTTAGAATGAAGACCTCAGTATTTTCCCTACTGAAAGAAAATTCTGGGTGGGGGGGAAATAGATGCTAAAGGAGATTACAGGAATAATTTTAGAGCTAAACCATCCCCGTGTGGTTAGTATATTTGTTATAAAAGGAAACATGATGCAAAGGGAATACATGAAATGCTTGAGAAATAATTTTTAAATTTTAAGGTAAAATTCACGTAACTGAAAGTTAACCATCTTAAAGTGGACAATTCATCTGCAATTGATCCATTCACCGTCTTGTATAACCACCATCTCTATCTATTCTAAAACATTTTCATCACCTCAAAAGAAAATTCCTATTAAAATTTTGCTCCTACTTCTCCCTCCCTGCAGCCTCTGGAAGCTACCAGTCTGAGTTCTGTCTCTATTGATGTACCCATTCTAGATAGTTCCTGTAAATGGACTAATGCATATAACCTTTTTGGGGGATACATTTTACTTTAAAAGTAGGGAAGGTAATGGATTCCCTTTAGAACTCTGTTGAAAGTAGTGGACTGTCCTTAGGAAATACATAGATGCAAATTCCTTATGTAATTTTAAGTGTAAGGGATTCATAGATCCCTTGAAGTTGATCCTTAAATTCAGGTTAAGAATCACTGATCAAAAGAATGTAAACATTACACAGTTGATGTAGCACAGATGTTACTCTTAATACCAATTATTATTTTATTCTCTAAAGAGCCATTTGTCCAAAATGAAAATCATTTTTACCAGGGAATTGTTTTAGATCCCCAAGGAATCTTTGCAGACAACTGAATATTGACACTTTCAAGAATAGAAGGAAAGTATATAAAAAGAATAATGAGAGAAAAAAATTGGAGAGATGTAGGCTTTAAAAGCATTGTTTTCTTTTGCCTTTCTTCCTTCTGTAGATGCTCAATCATGTCTCTTAAATTTAGGCAGGTTTTTTTTTTTTTTTTTTTCCAGTTCCGCCAGGAATATTTTGATTGATCTTCAATTACTTTAATCACCTATAATCTTAAATAATTTAGGAGTATTAGGAAATATTAGGTGGAGTCATTGTGAAAAAAAAAACAGTAACAGCCTTGATAATGCTTCCTGATAGAAATTTGTTTGTTCTTTGTGAATCATGGATTCTAGTGACCTGACAACTGGCAACCTTTTCAGTGATTAGATTAATACAGTTCATTTTCTCGTTGTCCAGTGGCCTCATCTTGCAAGGTGATTTTTTTTTTAAAAAACATCTTCTGGATATAGAATTTATTTCTAACTTTACAAAGAAGCAAAATAGTAAGTGAATTACTTAAAGATACAATAAATTAATTATTTTTATTTTTTAAATAATAGAATCTGATAACCAGTTACATGCTGGAGTTGGTACTAAGAACTTCAGAATTCTTACTTCAGATGAGTTAATTATCCCCCCAAAATTTGCTACTATATAAAATCACAGGTTAGATTTTTAATAACACTATATTTATAGCTTCATAACTATAGAATGGTTTTAAACGAAAGAATTCTGTGTTTTTACAAACTACAAATTTCTTCGTGAGTAATGTGAGGAACTCTATTGCCTTTATACATTTAAGGTAGTTTTATTACATAAGAAACACTTGAACTCTCAAAATAGGTTTCAGTTGCAATAGTGTATTGATTTAGCTATAAACAGTTTTAAGTAATTATATATAGTCATTTGTGTAATGAACTCTGTTAAAGTATTTACAGAAAACAAAAGCATTCTACCAACAAATGATTTAAAAGTCCCATGAAGGCTATATTATTTATACCTATTAGGACTCATAGAGCATTAGTAAAATTTTTGTGAAATTTGAACATCTTTTTATTCCCAGTTTTAATAGACAGCTCTTTATCCATTGTATCCTTTACTAGGAACTGGTTATGAGCACATTTCCCTTAGTTTATCACTATACTATGGATATCAGTGTCTGTTCTACTAATTTTTCTTTCTCTATATATTTTTCTTTTCTCTTTTTGCTTCCCTGCCAAAGGCTGAATATGAGTTTATCAGCTCTGGTCTCTACCTAGTTGTATTATTGCACTTGTGTGAACAAAGCTTTTCTGATATGATGGGAAATACAAATGAACCAAGCACACGTGTCCGTGTAAGTAATTTTGAAGTGGGGAGAAGGGAGGGTATGATACAGCAAATGTTTGCCTTATATTCACATCCTATTTCCTTTGGGGATCTCTTCTTTAAATTGTTCCTTAAACATGAAGACATTGTAGCTTCAATAGAAATTGCTAAATAATGTCTTTCTTCTAAAGCAAGTAGTCTAATTTTCTCCTAAAGCTGTTTTAAAGACTGAAGAAGTAGTTTTCTAGCTCTTGAAGGTAATTGGAATATGTTTCAGTGAGAAATGGGATTGAAAACACCAAAGAAAAATGTTCTTTTTAATTTAAAAAAAAAAAAAAAAAAACTGATCTCATGATTATGATTTAAAAACCTGAAGTTGAACTTTGACTATTGGACATTAACTTTAGTTTATTTCCTACTATCCTGTACAAGATTACCACCAGTATACTACTTTTTAAGTTTCCATATTATAAAGTGTTTTAAGGTATGGATTATTTGGTGTTTACTATTGATAACCTTTAATAAACTATTCAGGCTAGCTGTTTATTAGATATTTATACGTAAATAATGCTGTTTGGCCCGTGAACTAGAGAAAACCTTAATATGATGCTGCCTTGGTTATTTAGTGTGTTAGGCAATAGGGTCTATATGGGTCATTGTAGCATTCTGAACACTTCGTATCTCAAATGTACCCATAAATATATTCTTCAAACATTTTTTATATAGATCTTCACATTGATTATAGAAGTTCAGTAGAGTGTGGTGAGATACGTTTTTATTCTGAAAATTGTCAAAAAGTTGTTACGAAATGTTCAGGAAAATGTGGACATTATTCCTGTGAACTAGTTGACAGATTATTATTTATAAGAGAAGAGAGAACAACCTATCAAGAGCACTCAAAATTGAGAAAAAAATCTCTTGACTATAGAAATCATGAGCCTCTAAATTTAGTTTATGCCACAAAATGATTTTTTTTTTAGTTGTCTGTTCAGAATGAATAAACCATACAAAATAAGGTCTATTGAATTCATGGCTTTGTAAAAGGCATAAACAAGTTAAAGAGGAGGTCATTTTTATGATTTTCCCTTAAATACAAATTTAGATGTAAAACTTATAGAGCTATCAAGTTTAGCCAGGAATGTATCAATTCTTGGGTTTCTGTCAGAAACTTGACCACTAAAGTTGAATTCATTGGTGTCCCATTTGCAAGGTTTTTTTTTTCTCCCTTGTTAATTTTTTGAAGTAGTATATATAAGCAGTCCCCAGGTTATGAATGAGATCTGTTCCTAAGCATGTCTTTTACTTTAATTTGTAGGTAAGTCAGAACAGTTGCATACAGTTCTTATTTAGCCTTACTTTAGTGCAAGAAAAGGGTTGAAGCCTTTGTGTAAATATAAAAGCTTCACGTGCAGCAAGTGAACGTGATTGTGGCGAGGAATTTAGAGTACCGCTGGGTCAATCATTTCAAGTGAGAGCAGATTAAATTAAAGGACAAGTTTACATTGTCTGTAGTCAGATGTTCCTAACCAGGAACTTAACTGTACTTAGAAAACAGTGATATCATTAGATAAAATTATTTTATTGTATCTGTTCCAAATTTAATGAAATTGGTTTTTATATGATTAATGATTATATAAAACACTTAAAAATAATACCCTTAAGCTTGTAATTTTTGGTGTGGGGGAAGAAAGACCCCTATTTAAAGATTTAAAATGATGTTTGACTTTTTTAAATAGAAATGAATCATCTATACTGATTCTCTCTTTGGATCCATTTTCAACATTTAAACTACTGTATTTTTTTCTGCATTGTTTCTAGTTTATTAACCTTGCAAGAACTCTTCAGGCACATATGGAAGATCTCGAAAGTAGGTGGAATTTCCCCTCCCCAGACTTGTTGAATTTACTTTTGCAAATTAAACCCACAAAGCAAAACCTAAGTATTAAGTATTTCAACCAAATTAGAGCTTCATTCATAGATTTGATAATAGCAAAATGAACTGTTAATCCAACCTTAATCTGTTAGAATTTTTTGGCGGAGGTAGAAAAGAAGTTGTATACCTTATTCAATTTCTTTAGGTAATAGAAGATTTCACCTGGGTTTAAGTATGGTTCTGGGAAAGGGAGAGTTCTCTTCTGGTTGTGGGTTCCTAACAGAAGCCATAGTTTGTTTTTTGTGCTCCTTGTTCAGATCCTTATGGTACCTTTCATGAGGTGTCACCTCCACCAGCAGCTCTAATATTTTAAGGTTACATTCCAGAATCGGTTTCTGCCTGGGGTCGTATGTGAAGGCACTCAGTGCCCAAATCTTTACAGGCATCTGCACAGCATTCCCTCTTTTCAAGGAAGAACATCATCTAGGGTGCTTCATACCAAGTGGACATGGATATTGGTGGCACTAAAACAGTTCCTGGGAATCCAAATATTACCCCATCAACACCTATTTTACTTTTTAACATTAGCTTTCTCATTGTCCATTTGCCAGTAGACTCTTTGAAGTGTTTTTAAATGTGCATTCGTCGATTGATTTCTCTAATTCCTTTGCTTGTCGTCAAAACACTTGTTGGGTGCCTAGCATTTTTACCTTTATATAGAGAAAGCTCAGCATCTTTTGAAGTAAGATTTGAGAAGGATTTAGTCCTCATAAGAAAACGTTTAATTCTTCGAATATTTAAAGACATGAGGTTTTATCATTTAAGCTGTTTGTTGTTATGTGCCTTCGAGTCAGATCTGACTCATAGCGACCCCTCCTTGGGTTTCCGAGGCAGTATCACTACAGAAGTAGATTGCCCAACCTTCCTTCCGAGGAGTGGCTGGTGGGTTTGAACCACCAGCCTTCTGGTTAGCAGTCAAATGCCTTAGGCACTATGCTACCAGAGCTCCCATTTAAGCTGTACTGTTTTAAATTTTTGCAAATTAAACCAACAAAGCAAAACCTAAGGATATAAAGATTTTGAATTACAGCCAGACTATACGTTTTCACAATTTTATTTAGTATATGCAGGCTTTGTTTGGTGTCACTTTTTCCTTAGTACCATTTTAGTTCATATCCCTTATGTTAGCTAATATACAGGTCTCTCTTTTAATAATAATTTATATGTTTTCCAGACATGATAATTTCATTCAGTGTAAATTTTTCTCACATATTTTAAATTTATTTTCCTTAACAATAGCAGTGTCTATTCCCAACATGTAAGAGAGAAGGAAAAAATGGAGGTGAAATATACCCAGACATAGCTGAGAGTGCAATTGTGAGTGCTATAAGTTGATTCTTCAGTACCAGAGTGTTAATATATTCTGAATAGTTTACAACTGAATTTTCTTTATCTGTGGGGTTAACCAAATAAAAAGCATGAGAAATTCCTGAAAAGCTATTTTATAGTTTGATGCTTCTCCCAGATAGAGTGTAAAACTTAACCAGCAGGTTTGTCTTGTTCATCAGTTGGGTATACAGACTTGATACTATTTATTTAAAATAAATTTCAAAATTATGCGAGATAAATGAGTAAATTTTGAAATACGGAGATTTAAATTTCATCTGTAAGTGTTGCATCATTTATTTTACTGTATGTTGATTCCATTTGCTGGGTGCTGTTAAATTGTCTTATTATTAATATAAGAAGAATGTACATTAAACCTTTCTGTCTTTGATAGTAGGGAAGATGGTGATTAGTTTTTTACTTTGGTTATTTTTCATTTTCCTTCACATGCAAAGCAGTTTACAGGATATATAGTTTTATACTCAATATGTCATTTCAAAAGACAGTCTGTGATGTTTTATGTTAACTCTTGAGCCACTAATAGCTCTTATATTAGTTCAGGTCAGAAATGTTGCATGAGTGGTAAGTTTCTGACACTGTGGAGAAATAAATAAATAATCTCAGCAAGGTTTTTACTAACTCCAGTTATTTTAACTTAAGCAGTGACATTAAATACAGCCTTTCTTTTGGCATTTTTAAAGACATAGCTTTGGTATAAGTTGCAAGAATGCCCATAGTTAGTTAGTATATGTGGGTATATATATACACATGTATGCATGTACATTTTTTTTTCCTTCTCCTCGGCTGCCTCATACATGGAGCAGTAAGAAGCCAGGTTGTACTCAGGTGTGTAAGAGCACTTGCCTTAAATCCACTTTGTCTCAAACTTACATATCTTTAGCTTTTATGAGCACAAAGTGATCTCAAAAACTTTAGAAAAACACTCTTGAACCACATTTTTAAAATTTTCATTTTTATTTTATAAGACGTATATAACATCACAAAAAGATACAGGTTTGGGGGTGTTGTGAATGGCATCACCCACAATCAAACTCACTAAATTAGGATTTTAATTTCAAAGTCATTGCTATTCTGGTTTCGTATTTACATCTCCAATTCTTACCTCCATTAAAATCATTCTTGAACATCCTGTTTTCTTTCAACAGCTTCAGAGGATGATTCAGAAGAAGATGGAGACCATAACAGAACATTTGATATTGCCTAACTTCTTATAAGACAAATGGATTATCTGTGAACAAGTGTTTATTAAAATTGGCAATTAAGTATCAATTTTGTGGAGGAATGCCTACTAAAATATCTATATATAAAATGAATATATATATACACATGTATGCATGTATATATATATTCACTCTCAAGTGTTGCTGAATTAAAATTTTACTGCTGGACCTTTTAACATGGCCAGTGAATCTGATGTTTTATAAACTGGTAATCAAAGTGTTTTTCTTTTAGGTGAGTGGGAAAGTGTTACCCTTGTTTTAAATATCTAAGCAGTGCCCACCTCCAACTCTCAAAATTTTGTGTTCTGATTACTGTAGTTATATTTATGAAAAAAGTTCGTGTTTTACTCTTGCTAGTGAAAAAAGTCGGGCAAAATATGTTTTCAAAGTAAGCTGCCAAATGGCATCTATTATTATTTCCTATTATTTTGCTTTAAGTTGCAGTCTCATTTTGCTAATCATTTGCTTCCAGTGTTTAAGAAAATTGAATGGGGAGAAGGTTCTAAAGAACATTGTATTAGGTTCCCAAATTTAATTTGAAGTGTAAATTCACCTAGCAATAAAATCTAATTTTTAACTAGGTATATAAATAGAAAATATGTAAAAGATAATTTTTTTCCCTTTTTTGGTTGATTTTCAAAATGCAGATTATATTTGATTAGGCCATAGTATTAGCTAATCTTTTAGGAATACTGCAGCTATAAATTATACAGAATTGCCAGCAAAATGCTATTTGGTTAAAAAAAATTATTGCAATCTCAAAGTAAAGGAATATTTTAAAATCCCACATTTGAAGTTTCAAACACTGGTTTTCAATGTGTTTTTTTAGTGCTGTCATTTCTTTATGGATAAATACGATATAAATAAACTGTTTGAATCTTGGTTGTTTTAAACTATTCTTTGGTAAGTCTGAGCATTTATTTAATGGTCTATTAATATTTTTCACTACCTTTGGAGAGCAAATGAACATTATACCTACTCACCATGAATAAGTCTAAACTGTGGTCATGAGTTTTGTATACTTCCATGACACTGTATTTTCTTCTGTCAGCACCCATAAAAACCATCTCCAGGTGGTTTCAGGTTATATTCTGTGTTATCACAACAAACTGCTTTCTCAGAAGTTAAATAAAACTAGGTATGTACTTTCTCAAATATGAATGATCCGTTAGCCCAATTTTACATCCTTTTGTTGGTATTATGAAAAACAGCTCAGGATAAAGCACATACTGATTGGTTTATGTTAGTTTGAAATGTTTTCTTTTTGAACTGGTGCTCAAAAATAAATAAATAAATAGAGCTTCGAACCAGATAGCCAAAATTTTTAATAAAATTTCAAATTCTCACTTTATAAAACATAAAAATGTTTCTAAAAGACATTTGTGTAATTCGTGCCTATTATCTTTGCATTGCCTTTCTTAAGTCAAAAATACATCTATTCTATAGCCCATTAGGGATGGTTTGAGTTGGAAACATTTGTAGTTTTATTATAGTTCACTTGGAAAATTAAATGTTTTGTGCTTAACCTACAAATATTTTTATTTAAAAATCTTAACTGGTAGGAAATACTCCATTTGTTGCACATACAAATTTCTTAGTTTTGTTAAATGCTAAATGACAGTGAGACAGAGACAATGGCTTGAGCCATATTCTCGTAGTTCTTTAAATACTGTCACATTAAATTTTGATCCAGTGTAAATGTGACACTAGAGGAATAAGAAAAAAATCTTCAGTTACTCATTTTAAACAAAAATAAGGAGACCACACACTGCTCAAGGCAGAGTACAAATACCTAAGAAAACTTTTTCAAAGTAAAGTATTTCTGTACAAGATCTTATAAACATAAGAATTGTCACTATTAGCTTTAGAACAATATGGTTAAGAGAGCAATTCTCCATTCTGAATGTAAACATACCTACCTGTTATTCTTGATATTAAAAAAAAAAATAAGAGGCTTGAATGGTCAAATATCTTGACCACCCAATAGATGGAAGAACCTGTTAAAGACACTCTCATATGTAAAGAAAATTAAAATGTAACCTTTCATCACCAGGGGCCTCTAGACAGGCTTAAAAAATGAAATCAAACATGGAAAAATGAAACCAGTTTTAAACAGCCATTTTATAAGAGCTGTCATTAGATACAAATTGTTGGAAAGTATAGCTAAAATTGTAAAGGAGTTGGGGGGGCGTTTCTAGAGCAGCCCTGCTAATAAAACTTTCTGCCACATGGAATTGTTCTACTGTCTGTGCTGTTCAGCATGGTAGCCATTAACCAAATGTGCCAGTGCAACTGAGGAACTAAATTTTAAATTATATTTAATTTTAATTTTAATAGCCATATGTAGCTATTGACTACTGTATTTGACACTACAGTGCTAGAGACTTGATATGGTCATAGAGAGTTTTAGGGAATAGATATGAAAGTCCTTAATTCTTAGAGAATTGGTAGAATTTGGTTAAGAAAAGCAGGATGGCATCCCAGGTCAATGTTCACTGTTAATAGCACTTTTAATTAGCCTATCAGTGATAAAACAGATAGTCACTACACAAAACCTTGGAAATTTAAAGCTCTTACAGAGTATAATTTGTGTTAATCTTTGTTTCTGTAATATAAATGTAGTTTAACACTTGCTCTTTCAGTACCACAAAGCCATATTGTTACAGTCTTCTGTCATCACTGTAGTTATTCATGTTTCATTGCAAAAGTGATATTCTGTTTGAAAGGCTGTTTTTGATTCATAGTAGCAAATGACAACAAATGGGAGGAGTTGGACTTTGTTGCCTTTGGTCAAACTAGTGAGATGGTGGTACTGTATTTTTACTGAAGTAACACGCATGGTATATATTTGGTAAACTGTGTGACCCCTTTACACATTAGTTTCCCATGTGTGTTACACGTGTGTTTGTAATATGTGACAATAAATCTCCCCTTAAGATAACTGATAGGATAGAGATTAAGGAGAGATTACTTTCCTTGAGTTTTTAAGCTTCAAAATAGTAAATTTTATGTGTGGGCCATACGTTCTTTATCTTTTCTATCATTGCTTTTGATCTGCAAAGGAGGATTAAGAAATCACTCTTGTATCAGCTTTCATATTTATTTTTTTTTACCCCCAAAAGGATTTTTGTCACTGTTGTCTTAAATGTACAATAAATTACTGTACACTTGAGCATCTTCAGTCTTTGCTATACAGTTTTATGTCATTGAAAGATAAGATTTATGAATGGTTGAAGAGCATTAAATACCTTGGATAGGAAAACTTAAAGTGGAAAGAGAAATTTTCTTAAAAAGATGCTATGCTTTTCCCATGTCTTCTTGGACACAGCTAAATTTATTGCTTAATAAAATTTGTAAAATGTTACTACAAAGTTGAATCATTTGTGATCAGTGCTAAATACTGGTTGTCCAAAATGGTATGTCTGAAAGTAATGAAGTTCTAAAATTATGCTAAGGGTGGAGTGTTAAAATTTGCAAAATCTACATCTAAATTGGAAAGAACAAATATTAGAGAAATGAATCATCTGTAAACAGCATCACAGATATATTAATGTGTAACTTATATTGGAAAGTCAGGCTTATTCTCCTACATTATGTTTACTAGTAAAGGAGCAAGACCTAGAAACTGCTTAAACTAAACAGAGTAGGTAGAATCTTTTTTAAATGAAACTAAAAACTCATTCATTGTGACTCATGGTGTGACAGAGTAGAATGCCTCAGGGTTTCCATGGCTTTAGTCTCCCCAGAAACAGGTTACCACATCTTCAGCAGAACAGCTGGTGGGTTTGAACCATGGATCTTTCTGTTAGCAAGCCAAGCACTTAACCACTGCACCACCAGGGCTCCTTAAAATATAAACTATGGTGGTTCACAAAATGGGAAGGGAAGGAAGAATAATAAGTAAGCAAATTGGGTTTTGATTTTTATCTGCTTGAGCTTTAAGCTTCATTCAAGTGAAAGAAAGGTCTTACATATGGGAGGGAGGGAGTGTTTAAAGTCACTATATCTCAGGTCATTCCATTCTAAAATCTTTATAATGAACTTGGAAGGTTAATGTTTGGCACAATTATTACATGAAAATGATGTCACTGGAGAAAGGAAATGTACCATAAAGACTAATTTTCAGTTTCATGTTTTGTATCTACACAGAAATCACCGATAAGGTATATACTTTTGATGTCTTTAACTTGAGATTACCAAAAATTTAGTCAAATTGAGCAGCATATTCATTTTCTTCTGGAACCACCAAAACACAGTCGTCATTATAAGGTGATTGGGATGTAGTTGAAAAAACTGTGGTGAAACCATAACCTGAATTTCTTTTGTACAGGAACCATATGATTGCTCCCAGAACTGTCAGAATTACTGTGCTAACAATCACCAAAGCTGATATTAAAATATGGTTATCTGAAAAGGAAAAGACAAGGAGATCAGGCTATATGAATTGGAGCACAGGCATAGTTAAATAAAAGTCACAAAAATATTACCCTATACTGATCATTTTCCAAGCCGACAAAAACAACAAAATTACACATTTATTACAGCATATCAAGATTGATATTTCTTACCTTTTAAAATGGCCAGGAGGAGCTCTGGTGGCACAGTGATTAAAGCATTTAACTGCTATCCAAAATGGTAGTTTAGACCTACCAGCCACTCCACAGGAGAAAGGTGAGGCTGTCTGTTTCCCTAAAGATTTATAGCTTTGTAAGCCCAAATGTTTTGTAGGGACACTGAGTGGGAATCGATAGCAGTTGGTTTAAGCTTTTTGTTTGTAATGGCTAGTGAAATTACAAGTAAATTTTGCAGTTCTCTATTATAAGATGTTAAAATGGAAATTACCCACTTGGAGGCTACACAAAAATCCTGTTTGTTGGCTTTTTCATTCCTGATCTAACACTACAGATTCAAATGTGCTCTCTTCAGGCTTTGAACTTTTCACTGGGAAAACACCAACAGTGGCAGTAAGTTAAGTATCTTTTTGTTTCTTTGCATTTATGTAACCCTGTATTTGTGTGTGTTCCTAAAGTTCTCTGTCCAATCTTGTTCTTAGCAATTCAAAATTCTTACACTCTTCATATGAATTTAGTGTAATCTGTACAGTTTCTTTTTGTTTAGAAGTTAGGCATAAAATAATTTTTGGAAGATATTTGCATTATTTATTACTAGTAATAAAAGACCTCAAGTTAGTTAAAAGAAGTAATCTCAGAATTTTTCTTTATAGATGTATTTTTACTTTATGATTATTTAAATATTGTACTCATTATTTCAACTGGTGATTGGGAAACAGATTTGGAAAAATTAAGACTGGTAAGAGAAATCTGACCAAAGATCGATCATTTTAGGAGGTAACAGATACCACTGAAATGTTTAAAATATTGGCATGCTTCTTCAAACCACAGTTAGGAGGAGTGAAAAAATGGCACAACTGAATTCTTTTTTAGTCCTCAAACAGGTAAAATTTTGTCAATTTGGGAAGGTATAGTGACTGCTAATCAGAAGGCTGGCGGTTCAAACCCACCAGGCACTCCTTGGAAGGAAGATGGGCAATCTACTTCCGTAATGATACTGCCTCGGAAACCCAAGGAGAGGTCACTATGAGTCGGATCTGACTCAATGGCAGTGACTTTGTTTTGGGAAGTGGTGTTACGTGTTGAGGTCAAGTAGATTCTGACTGCAATCTCATGCTCTGTAGTGTTTTCAAGGCTATGTATGACCTTCCAGAGCAGATCACCAGCCTGCATTCCAAGGTGCCTCTGGGTGGGTTTTAACCACCAACCTTTCAGTTAGTAGTCAAGTACTTAACTGTTTGCTCTTGCCAGGGTCTCTTGTGTTGTTATGTGCTGTTGAATTGATTCTGACTCAGAGTGACTCCATGTAATGGAGTATAACTGCCCCCATAGGGTTTTCTAGGCTGTAATCTTCATGGGAACAGATCACCAGGCCTTCTTGCAGTGGCCTTGAACTCCTTTCACTTGGCAACTGAGCACTTAACCAATGTGCCACCAGGGCTCCTTAGAGAACATCATTTTTTTAATCTCTTTTTTTAAAAAAAAGTTGGTGTGGAATTTCTATATTATCTACTCTACACCAATGGCACTTATATTCCTTAATTTATTTTTTGTCAGTGTTAGTTCCATCTAACATATTAAATGTTAATTTGCCCTTAAAGGTAAGCCCCATGAGTGCAATCTATATTGTTCACCTAATCTTCAGCATCTGTATGTACTAGGTATTCGATAATTAGATACTGAATAATAGTCAATATTAAAGCAATAGGTGATACAGCTATATATGAATATATCCATTGATAAAATAGTACTCTCCATTATAACCTTGGAAGGAAGATAGGGCAATCTACTTCTGTAGTGATACCACCTCAGAAGCCCAAGGAGAGATCGCTGTAAGTCGGATCAGACTCGACGGCAGTGAGTTTAGGTTTTTTTTTTTTTTACTTTTTTGTAATACTGCAGTTAATAAAAGCAAATATTTCAGAATTTGGGAAGCTTTCTAACTTTACAAATTCTCTGAATTTAAAAAGATACAAAGTCATTTTGTTGTGTAATTTTGCCTTTAGAAAGTGCACATACTTGTGTAATTGTCAATTATCTCCAACTACACCTCTTTAGACCTGACTTGCAAATAACTACAACCTGAACCACTGAAAGAGATTCTAAAGCAAAACCTTGACCATGTAAAGCAAAAGGCCATTTTCTGACTTGAAGCACTTAAATGGAAAAAAGTCCAAAACTTCTGCAAACTGAGCTACCTTAAATGGGATTCTTTCATAGTTTTAGAGATATTTGTATCTTAAATTGGTCCATATGATTTTACATGTTCCCATTGCAAACCAAACCAAACCAAACCCACTGCCATCGAGTCAATTCCAACTCAGTGAGCCTCATAGGGTTTCCAAGGCTGTAAATCTTTATGAAAGTAGATTACCTCATCTTCCTCCCATGGAGCAGCTGGTCCCATTGCACTTGGAATTTCTGTAATCATGAAGCTAACAGTTTTTTTTTACACAACCCATCTTCATTGTAGCATGTTAATTTTACCAACGTGAACACAGTAGTTTTACTTCAATCTCAATGAACACCGGAAGGAAGATGGGGCAATCTACTTCCGTAGTGATACTGCTTCAGAAACCCAAGGAGGGGTCTCTATGAGTCGGGTCCAACTCAGCACATAACAACAACAACATTAATGAACGCACAGTCCACTTCTAACCAACATGAGTCATGTTCTAAAGACAAGGACATTATGTGAAGATGGAGGATGACTACGTCATCACCAAATCACACATTATGTAACTACCAAATTACCTTAACTTCCAAACCACTGAGAATCACACCCCAGCTAAATTGATATATAATCATCACAGCCAGCATTACTCACCTACCACCTTGGCATTCATTATTGCCATATGTCATTAATACACAAAATACATTTTTTTACTATTGTAAGAAATTGGGTAATGAAATAGTCCTTAAATGAGGCATAGGTGTAACATTCATAATACGTAGTATCTACTTTTAAATAGTGATAGTGATTACATGATCATAGCTTAATGAAGAAAATAATCTCAACTAGGACTTTTGGTGGCGTAGTACCTCAGGCATTTGACTACTAACCAGAAGGCCAGCAGTTCAAACCCACCAGCCTCTCCAGCAGATTGGGCAGTCCACTTACATAGATACACCACTTTGGAAACCCAAGGAGTTGTCGCTATAGTCAGATCTGACTTGACAGCAGTGAGTTAGGTTTTTTTGGCTTATAGTTTGAAAGGGTTTTACAGTTGAAAATGATAGTTATTTATAGACTCAATCACACAACTTGCAAAAAAAGTAAAAGATCAGTTGTCCTAAAAATTGGACAGCATTCAAGATTGGTCGCACATGGCCAGGAAGTATATATGTTGTTTGTATTTTCCCATTTTTCAAGTGAACGAACAGTGGCTAGGCTGCTTGCTACTAAATATGGTAGAAAGTCAATCTCAAGGCAACCAGCAGTGTATTAGATACATAAGGTTTCCACATGGAGCAGAGGATCATTCCAAATTATCTATTATTCACCACATAGTTAAAAGAGAAAAGTCCATTTGACAGCACATAATGACTGTTAGCTAGTCCTGGTTTTAAAATAAGAAACCTTCCATTGTATAACAAAAAGAAACTTGTAGCAGACATACCTGGGGTAAAACAAGCTTTCACTTCCCAATCATTTCTCAAACACCATGCAGTGTGTTTTCAGTCTTGCAGTGGCAGAGATCATCAATGACCTCTATGTGACTAAACACATAAACATGGAAACATTCCACTTTTATCTGCTGCAACTGAATAAGCCATCCAGCCTTGAAATTTTTTCCTAACTTGGGTTCCATAAAATTGCTTTCTCCTTTTCCTTTTCCATACTGCTGCTTCCCAGTCATCTTTCTGTACTCCTTTCCCTCTGAGATGGTTTTGAAGACCCATTATAATTTTACTTGTTCTTTTCTAAATGGTTTCCATTTTCCTTTATTATTTTCAAAACCAAACTCACTGCCGTTCAGTCAGATTCGACTCATAGTGACCTTGGGTTTCCGGGGGAGTATCACTACGGAAGTAGATTGCCCAGCCTTCCTTCCAAGGAGTGGCTGGTGCCACCAGCCTTCTGGTTAGCAGGCAAAATGCCTTAGGCACTATGCCACCAGGGCTCCTTGGAAATACACGTACATAGTTTAAAAGTCTACCAGGTATGTAATGAAACAACACTGGACTCTTGCCATGCCAGGCCTCTCCCTAATTGCCACATTTCAAAAGTAACCGTATCTTTCTTGCCTCCACTTTTCTAAATAACATGCTTACATTTTTGTTGTTTTTTATAGATGTTATATATTGATTTCCTTCTATAGAAGAATGAGGATTTAGCTCTCACGACATACACACTAAACTCTTAAACTCTTCCTTTCATTCTCCCACAACACCTTCCTTCCGAGGAGTGGCTGTTGGGTTTGAACCGCAAGCCTCCTGGTTAGTAGTCAAAATGCCTCAGGCACTATGCCACCAGAGCTCCTAATTTGATCATATCAAGCCCCAAACTAAAAGAAAATGTGTGTATACTATACAAAAATACAGCAATCAGTTAAACAAGTCAATAAAAAAAAATAGGGACAAAAGACATTTCACAAAAGAAGGTATCCAAATGACGTGTAAAGGTGCTTAATACCATCAAAGCAGTGAAAATTAAAATCATGGTAAGATCGTTACAAAGAGATTTGACAGTACCATCACTGGGATGGGAGCAAATGAAACTCATACACTGCTAATAATAACATGGATGAACCAATTTGAAAAACTCCAGTAGTTCTAATAAACTATTGTTGTTATGTGCTGTTGAGTCAACCCTGACTCATAGCGACCCCTCCTTGGGTTTCCGAGGCAGTATCACTATGAAGTAGATTGCCCAACCTTCCAAGGAGTGGCTGGTGGGTTTGAACTGCCAGCCTTCTTGTTAGCAGTCAAGTGCCTTAGGCACTATGCTACTAGAGCTCCTAATAAACTATATAACCCAGTAATTTTAATCTTTGGAATATAACCAAGAAAAATGAGAATATAGGCCCCAAAGAAGATTTCTAACAATGTTCAGAGGCAGCTCTCCTCATGTTAATCCCAAATTCTGGATAATCCAAATAGCCATCAAAAACTGACCAAAAAACTTAAAACATTTTTATGAAATAAAATACATCAATAGAGAAGAGTACCATGTGTATACACAATGTGGGTGAAATTAAGCAGTATGATAAATGGAAAGACAAGTATCAGGATTACATGTGAAGTTCAAGAACAGGCAACTCTGGTAAGTGAAAAGTTACCTCTAGTGGGCAGTTGTAGGGTGGACATTTTTTGGGAAACTTTATGGATGGAGTGACAAATGTTCTATATGTTGATCTGAATGGTAGTTACACAGGAGCATACATGTAAATTCAAGCTGTAGATTCAAATTTGTGTATGTTACTCTAAATTATCTTTCAAAACTATGGCAATATGAAAATAACCAATTGGCAAGAAAAATGCCAGAGTTTCATAACAGCATGTATCATACATTGCTACTGGGAACGCAATATGATACCAATTCTCTAGAATAGCATCTGTCAGTATCAGTGAAAGATTTATTTTTGATCCAGCAATTATATTTCAAGGACCCCATTCTATAAGCAGGTTTATACAAGGTGATTTATTGCAGCATTATTTACAGTAGCAAATGTTTGGAAACAATCTAGTAGTGGTCTGAAGCTAGTTGAGTAAGTATGTATATCCACGTAATGGAAGAGTGTGCTGTTGTAAAATCTATACATAATATGGAGATAACTTTGGAATAAAAGGGCCAAATAAAACAACTGAATTTGTTTACATATTACCAAAAGAGAAACCTTAGAAGGTTAAAAAAAAAATTGACTTAAATGGTGACCAGTAAGAAGAAAGGTAGCAAAGAGTGGGTGGATACAGGATGGAAGAGAGATTTTTCAAGTGTTTGCTTTAATGTAGTGTTGATTTTTGGACCATGTAAATATATTACCTTTAAATAAATTCATTTAGTAAGCCCTTAAGGGTAGATGTTTCATGAAATATAATTACAACTGTGAGGTGGTTTTTTTAAAAAAAAAAAAGGTGTAAAGTGATTTTGCCCATGAAAACTGATAATGGAAGGTCAATGGGGAAAACTACAATTAGGTTAAAAAATAATAATTTTTATACATAACTTGGTAAGAGACCTTTCTACATTCTTATAAAAATTATTCTACTTTATGTTACATAATTAAAAAGAGATCTTTAGAAGTATATTAACACAAGAATCATAATAATATATTTTATTCATGGGAAAAACTTAATCAAAGACCATTACTTACCTGATAAATATTTCTTTTCATATGGGACTAAAATACAAAAGAATATTAAAATTAAAATTTAAATACATTTTTTTAAAAGCTGGACTTTATTAAAGGCTTTCCAAGTATTTAAAAATAGTTTTAAACTCTTTAGTAACTTAATATTAACCATATTTCTAAGTCAACTGTCCTCATTATTCTTCATTATCTGCTTTGAACTTAATTTTTTTTAAAAAAAGGACTAGTAGCCTAACAGATTCCTTGATTGTAGAACAAAGAAGATAGGAACTCAAGAAAAAGAATGATGAGGTGCGGGAAACGAGGATTCTAGTTGGAGTCTGCAGAAAACAACTTTAGTAATATTAATTAGTAATATTAAATTATAAAACTGTGACCTTACCCTCAATATGGATTTATTCACTATTTCTGATGTTTTAAAAGTTTAACTTAAGATTAAGTTTATATAATGGTTCTCTGAGGTATAGTAAATAAAAAGAACCAATTTTTAAAAAATAAAAAAATACTGAAATTTGAATGCTACTACTATAAAACCACAACAATTGTTTATCCAACCACTATAAAACTGGCTTGGAAGGAAGACTGGGCAATCTACTTTTGTAGAGATATATCTCCTTAGAAACTCAAGGAGGGGTTGCTATGAGTTGGATCGACAGCAGTTTGGGGTGTTTTTTTTTTTTTTTTTTTTTTTGTATAAAACTGTACTCGAGCATCCGGCTGTGACTGGGGGAGGAGGCTGTGTAAAATTTCAGATGTAGACAAAGGAACTAACCAGAGCCAGTTGTACTGTTCTGGTTTACAATGGAAGCAGAAGGGGGAATACTAAGGATGGAAATGGGGAAAAGGCTATTAGTGTTTTGTTTCAAGCATCCTAAATTTATATTTAAAATTACAAGTTTATTTAATGAGAAATATTTACTTTCTAAAATTTAAATATATAAAAACTATGTTCAGTGTTTAACAAGAACATCAAAATATTGTAGGCTAGGATAATTTTGTTTTTTAAAAAGCATTTTGATTGGTCAGATGAAAATTTAGGTATTAATCCAAAATAAGTCATAAACCACAATGTAATTTAACACTGATTTTTAAAAAAGGATGTTAGTTCTTATACATAATCTAATATTCTTATAAAGTAACTCAATCATTAGAATTCTGGAAACATACATGATGATTATTCTTAAACATACATGATGATTATTCTTCACTTCTACTGCTCGTTCAAATCACATGCTAAGGGACTATGATAATTGCCTTCAACAAAAGAAAATTTTGACCTGTTGCAAACTCTAAGGATAAGCAGACAGAATAAAATTGGTCTACTTCAATTACTCTGACTCCAATTCTGAAATGTAAGAGAATTTAATACTGGACTTCAAAGATACTTGGGAGCAAACTATCCTAAAATATTCTGAAATTTTATTCCCTCTATTTAATGAGGCAAACTATTCTCCAAGACAATTATCTGCAAATCAGCCCTCCTTTCTCCACCCTTCTTAGAATGGAAGAAAGTCTTCATACTTACTAGCTGCTTTACAAAGTGTTCCTTCTACAGAAGAAACTTCACAGTTTCCTTTTTTCCATTCACCTGTCTTGGTGTGCAGAAAAGCACAGGTGTCAACTAGATCCTCAGCATCATTTTGGTTTGTCCACTTATCAAATGTCATATTTGATTTATCAAACCACTTGAAACATGCATCTGTCAGATAAGAAATATTGTTAGCATTATAAAGGTATAAAAACCAGTTGTCATTGAATTGATTCTGACTCATGGTGACACCTTGTGTGTCAGAATACCCTACAGTTTTCAATGGCCGATTTTTTAGAAGTAAATGGCCAAGCCTTTCTTCCCAAGTGCCTTTGGTGGAGGGAGTGGGTAGCTGGACCTGTGAGCTTGGGACCATGGTCACAGGGGACATCAAGCTCAACTGGCATAACATACTACACAAAAACACAGTTCTACAACCTACTTTGGTGAGTAGCAACTGGAATCTAAAAAGCTTGCAAGTGGCCATCTTCATACAATGAAGTGTCTCCTCGTCCAGAGCAAAGAAGAATGAAGGAAACCGAAGACATATGGAAACAATTAGTCTGAGGGACTGGTACATCACGTGATCCTCAGCCTGTATAACTGAGACCAAGAAGAAAAAGGTGGTGCCCGGTTACCACTGCCAACCTTTTGGAGGGGGATCAGTGCAGGAGATCCTAGATAGAATAGGAGAACAATGTGGAAGAAAACTCAAAATCACTTAAAAAAAAAAAAAAAGACCAGCTTTGCTGGTCTGATAGAGCCTAGTGAGACCCCTGAGACTATGGCCCCTAGCTACTTTCAGGTCTGGAATTGAAGTCACTCCTGTGGCTTCCAGCCAAACAATAGGCATATGGGGTGAACATTTTTTATTTTTATTTTTAATTTTACTGTGATTTGGGTGAAAGTTTACAGAGCAAATTGATCTTCCATATAGCAGTTCACATACACTTCATCTCATGACTTTGACTGCAATCTCCCACAGTGCAACAGTTCTTCCCATAGCCACCCGTTCCCTGTGTCCTTCCCTCCCATGCACTCCTGCCCCCTGAGCTGTCTCCCTGTGTGTACATAGCCCTTCTATTCTCCCATGAGTGATCTCTCCAAGGAGTATATCTACCTAATGTAAATGTTCACCTCATATACCTGTCTTCTGTTTGACTGGAAGCCACAGGAGTGGGTTCAATTCCAGACCTGAAGGGCAGCTAGGGGCCATAATCTCGGTGATTCCATCGGGCTCTATCAGACCAGCAAACCTGATACCCACCCCCCTGTTTTTTTAATGACTTTTAAGTTTTTGTCCCACACCATCTCCTACTCCATCCAGGATTTCCTACAGAGATCCCCCCCTGAGTGGTTGACAGTGGTAGCCAGGCACCATCTAGTTCTTCTGGTCTTGTAGTCATACAGGCTGAAGATAGCATGATCTACCAGTCCCTTGGACTAATTGTTTCCATGCATCTTTCGTTTTCTTCATTATTCTTTGCTCTGGACGAGACCCATCATATCTAGATGGCTGCTTGCAAGCTTTTAAGATCCCAGTCACTACTTGCCAAAGTAGAATGTGGAACAGTGTTTTTGTGTGGTATGTTATACCAGTTGAGCTTATGGTCCCAAGCCCACAGGTCCAACTACTCTGGGTAGCTGGCTGTGGCCAGTAAGTGATTACAACCCTGTCCCCTGTCAGCTCTACTTTAAATCTGGAAATTATTACAGAACATACAAATACACTTGTAGAAACATTGTCTGCCAGCCCTATACGTGGTCATGGGCTGGGGTGAACATTATATCAGGTAGATAAGCTTCTCGGAGAGATCAATCACTGGAGAACAGAAGGCAGTGTACGCACAGGGAGACAGCTCGGGGGATGGCAGGGCATGGGAGAGAAGATACCAGGAAGAGGTAACTGTGGGGAGGAAGTAGGAAGAGAGCTGTTACACTGTGGGGAATTGCTGTCCATGTCATGAGACAAAATGTGTATGAACTGCTGTATGGGAAATGAATTGGCTCTGTAAACTTTCACCCAAATCACAATAAAAATTAAAAAAAAAAAAAAAAAAAGTGCCTCTGGTGGGTGCAAACCTCCAAACTTCCAGCAGCCAACAGTGTGTTAACTGTTTATACCACACAGGGATTCCTATGAAACTAAGTAAAGGTGTTAACGAAGTCTAGGGTTAAAAGTGGAAAGTTACAAGAGTCTGGTCTAAGTGTACTTACAGGCTTTAAATCACAAAGAAGAATATATCCCACATACAAGCAAATTAGTGCCTAAGGCACTTGACTGCTAACCAGAAGGCCGGCAGTTCAAACCCACCAGCCACTCCTCGTAAGGAAGATGGGGCAATCTACTTCC